CAAACAAGAGATACTGAACATTGTGAAATGAAAAGTGGATGATTTTTATTACACTAAATTGAAAAATTTTTGCACAAAGTCAGTGCAACCAAGATTAGTAGGGAACCAGAAAGCTGGGAAACAAGTGTTACAGCCAATGTCTCTGATAAAGGCCTCATTTCTAAAATATGTAAAGAACTAAGTCAAATTTATAAAAATACAAGTTATTCCCCAACTGATAAGTGGTCAAAGAATATGAACAGACAGTTTTCAGATGAAGAAATTAATGCTATCAATCACATGAAAAAATGCTCTAAATCACTATTGATTAAAGAAATGCCAATTAAAAGAACTCTGGGGTGCCACATCATACCTGCCAGATTGGCTAACATGACAAAACAGGAAGATGATAAATGTTGGAGAAGATACGGAAAAATTGGAACACAAATGCATTATTGGTGGAGTTATGAACTGATCCAGCCATTCTGGAGAGCAATTTGGAACTATGCCCAAAAGACTATAAAACCGTGCATGTCCTTTGATCCAACAATACCACTTCTAGGTCTGTATCCCAAAGAGATCATAAAAATGGGAAATGGACCCACCTGTATAAAAATATTTATAACATTGCTTTTTGTGGTAGCAAAGAATTGGAAATTGAGGGGATGCCCATCAATTGGGGAATGGTTGAATAAGCTGTAGCGTATGAATGTAATGGAATCCTATTGTTCCATAAGAAATGGTGAGCAGGAAGATTTCAGAAAACCTGGAAAGACTTACATTGAACTGATGCTGAGTGAAGTGATCAGAGCCAGGCGAACATTGTACACAATAACAGCAAAATTGTGTGATGCCCAACTTTGATAGCTTTAGCTCTTCTCAACAAAGCAATTCCAAAACTAAAGGTGGAAATGCTATCCACATCGAGAGAAAGAACTATGGAGTCTGAATGCAGATCAAAGCACACTATTTTCTCTCCTTTTTTTTTGTTTCTTCTTTCTAGTGTTTTTTTTTCCTTTGGTTCTGATTCTTCTTTACACCAAGACTAATGTGGAAATATGTTTAATATGATTGTACATGTGTAGCCTATATCATATTACATGTAATCTTGGGGAGGGGGGAAGTGAGAGAAGGGGAAAATTTAGAACTCAAAATCTTATAAAAGTGAATGTTGAAAACTAAAAGTAAATAAATTAATTTTTTTTCAAATTACATTTATTTCTATTAAATCTGATTCAGTTAGGTTCATATCAATATTCTGACTTTGGAATCTTTTTGGAACTTGACTTCATTGTCTTAGCTAATCCTCCTACCTTTGTGCCATCTGCCTATCAGATAAACATGGTATCCATGCCTTATCCGAGTCATTGACAAAAGTGTTAAAGAGCAGGTCAAGCATACATCTTTGGAGCACTTCATAAGAGACTTCCTTCCAAGTTGATATTAAACTATGCATGACTACTCTCCAGAAAAGGCTATCCAACAAGTCCTGAACTGCATCTATCTACTATAATATCGTCTCTCTTCTACCTCTTTATTTTCCCAGGAAAAGGATATTAGCTACCATGATAAATGACATGCTAATGCAAAATAAAAATCAAATGAGCCACACCACCTTCTCTCCATCATCCATTGCCAACATCCTAGAGTTCTAAACCTCCTTTGATCTTCCTTTTTGCCCCCATATAACTGTGAACCCCTTTTCTGGTGGATTGAGCCTTCCTCCCTAACCTCAACTCATTCTATGTTAGTGCCCTTGACAATATTCATTTGTCATCATCTTCTCTAACCTACCCCTGCTTCCTTCTCCTGCATATTTCTTTTTTAAAAATCTGTGTTCATTAATGACTTTCCTATGCATAATATTTCTTTTTTGTCAGTTCTCTCTCTTCCTTCTCATTGGAACTGATTCTCTTTTTTCCTTCAAAATGTTACTCTTAAGGGTTTCCCCAGGCTTAGTGACCCAACTTGCCCTGTAGAATTTTAGTCGATGGGATCTTCCCACCTATCCTTTATTTGGACCCTTTGAAACCAGCTCTCTCTAATTCTGGGCTGCTCTCAGACTGTCCCAGGTTTCTTTCACCTTCTCTCCTAAAAACTCTGAGAAAAAAATGATCTCTTCTCTCCCCAAACCCCATTTCAAAGCCAACATTCACTTCTTGCACAAGCTAGTTTACCACACAAGCCATTTTCACCATCCAAAGCTATTGCCCTAGTTTTCTTTCTTCCCTCTTTTAAAGAGAAAAGGATATTCTGAGAGAGAAAAAGCAGAAGAAATTTGCCATTGGGAAGAGGCCAAACACTAGTTAGTCAGTCTGTCAATTGGCATTTATTAAGTGCCTATTATGTGCCAGGCACCCGACCCCATACTAAGCACTGGGGACTTGATGCAATCAATGAATCAACATTTATTGCAAACCTACTATGTGCCAGGGACTAAGCACTGGAGATGAAAAAAGAAGCAAAAAATTGTACCTGCCCTCCAGGAGCTTACAATCTAAGGGGAAAGACAACATGTAAATGAATATTTACAAAGCAATCTATCTACAGGATACATAGAAAATAACAAAAGAAAGACACTAGAATTGTTGTTGTGTTTGTCCTTCATTCTCGAAGAAGTCCATGTCATTGGGGAGATGATGACATGACTTGCAATTGACTTTGATTTGAGTGAGGGAGGGCTGCGCAAGGTCATCAGCCTCACTTTTCCTCTGGAGCCGCCTGGGTCCAGTGGCCAGATATTCCTGATGAATTAGAGATGGCCCAGGATAGAGGGAGAGACTCTGCCCCTTTTAAGCTAAGGTTTTTTCAGGTTCTTACTTTGAGTGAGGCAACACCCATTCAGTGAATAAGCCTCTTTAAGAAGTGAGTCAAGCAATGGCCTCTTTAATCAAAAAAGAGTCAAAATGGGAGGGGAAGACCCTCAGGATTGCTGGCCAAAGGAGAAACAGTTACTATTTACATTCACTCAGAGCCAGCAGGGCCCAAAAAATAACCATTAAGTGGTGCTTGAGCAGGGACCTCTTGTCCAATCTATGAGCTCCAGAGTGAACTGGGTTTAAGGCTTGGTCTTTGAGAAAGAAATCTAGGCAGTAAACCTCAAGTTAACTAGGCAGCTTTTGGCCATCAAAAGTTACCTTCCTTTGCACAGAACACCCTCAGGCAAGGGGAGAGGGGAAAGAAGAGAGGAGAGGAGAGGAGAGGAGGGGAGGGGAGAAGAGGAGAGGGGTGGGGAGGAGAGGGGAGGACCAGCTGAGTTACCCAACTGGAACTGGCCAGATGGATCCCCAGTTAGGCAGCTTGGACGACTCACAAATTATGTTTATCCTTCCTTCTCGAAGAGGACCGTGATATTAGAATTAAGAGGGGTTGGGAAAGGCTTCCCATAAAAAGTGAGGTTTTAGCTGGAACTTAAAGGAAGCCAGAAAGGTCAGTAGATAGAGTTGAGGAGGGACAATGGTTGCTCCAGGGATGGGAGACAATCAGAGAAAATTCCCATCCAGAAATAAAACTGTGACTAAATGCTGCAGTCCTGTGTGACATCAGGAAGACACTATATATCTTGCTCTTTTCCTAAACTCATCTTCTCCTAGGTATCTGATAATGACAATGCCCAGGATTACCTCATGGGACAAGGGAAGGGTGCCACTCAACCTTTGAGCTCTGGCCAGAGGGCCTGTTGCTACTTCCTCCCTCTCCAGTGCACCCCCCTCTGCCGGGCCACCCAGCTGTCGAACTTGGCTCTGACTCTGCAGCCACAGTCAGGACCACCTGCCAAGACTTCTTCAGTCCTCAACATCTCTGTGGTGGCCTTGGCCTTTTGAAAGCCAAAGGAGAAGGAAGGGATGGAGAGTGCTTGCTGCGGCTCAAACAGCAGTCATTTTCTAGCACTTCTCTAGAATGAGAGTTCAGCAGCTGCTGTGGAAGCTCACAGCGGGACCCTTAACAGGCGATCACTGCCCCTCTGTTGCTGAGGGAGTCACCTTTCAGAGCCAGCCAGGAGTAGCCCATATAATGCAGGTGGTCACATATTTAGGGATTAGAGGGGCTGTAGGTGCTGCTTTTGTAAATGCTTAATAACTGGGAAAATAAATTAAATTTTACTTAAATTGAGAGCTGGTTTTGAAGAAGGGAGAAAGTATGATTTATATTCTGAGACAGAAACATTGAAATGAAGACTCAGTGAGAGACCAAGCTAACAGACGATGCAGATGGCTTGTGAAATGCTTTTCACGTAATACCTTCTTTAGGGTTAGACATTTAGAAGTGAGGAGCATTGTAGAGGCCACCTAGTCCAACCCTTCACTTTACAGATGAGGAAATTGAGGCCCGGAGAGATGAAGTGATTTGCCTAAGGTCAGGAGCAGAGGTAAGGTTTGGTCCCATGTCCTCTTACTCAAAATTGAGTGCATTCCCATGATTAGGACGTGGCTTTTCTCAACAACTCTTTGAGGAAGGTGTTAACATGAATCTCATTTTACAGGTGATAAAACTGACGGTAGAGAAGGTAAAGGACTTGCTTAGGAACTCCTAGAGAGGAAGCAGCTGAGCAGGCTTCAAATGGAGATACTCAGAAATGAAGGTAGCACAAAACCAAATATATAAATGAAAGATTTAATTTTTTAAAAAATATTGAGAAGAAACTTGTTTTCGGTAATCTCGGATTCTTCTTTCCAGTGACTTCCCAACATCAAGGAGGTTCCTGGCTAAGAAATTAAATGCTAGTAAGCACATTAGAGACAATCAGCTCCAAAGCTCTGTGTGGTAACTGCATGCTCCCTTCCCAACATTAACACCAGCAACATTATTGACATTCAGTTAACCTCACCCACTAAATGAATCTTCTGCATTACAAAGGCTCAATACAATTTCATTCTGAATACTCACAAAAATAAATGATCAGAGGCCCCTGATTCCAATTAAGGATAATAACTTGCAGAAGTCTTTCGTAAGATTTCCACTTTGGTAATAGTTTATCTCACATGAACATGTGGCCTGTTCTTTTATGTCTTCTCTCCTAGGCCCCAAAAAAAGGTTGGAAGGGGAAAGTAAAAATGCTCATCGCTTGTGGAAAGCTGTGGAATCAGGAAATGAGGCTTCTTTTATTTTGGGGTGCTTCTACAGAACCTGACCTCCTGGAAAAAGGCCTATATAAAGATTAGCTGTGGTTGACCTGAAGGAACTATGGAGTCTTATTTTCTCCTAGGAAACACCATGGAAAGTACCTTTTCCTAGAATGTGTCAAACACAACCTGAACACTGTGATCCACCCCCCCAACCACGCCTTCCTCACTTTCTTACATTCCTGCTTCCCCCTCCTGACCATCACAATCCTATCCATTCATCTTTCAGATCTAGACCTCCATGTGTCATCTTCTGAATTCAGTTGCATATTCCACTTGGGAGAAGATCAGGCCTTTAAGACTTATTCCTAAAGGTAGATGGTATGATAATGTGCAGGGCATTGGGCCTGGAGTCAAGAAGACCTCAGTTCAAATCCAGCCTCATACCCTTACTAGCTGCATGACCCTGAATAAATCACTTGACCTTCCGTTTGCCTCAACTTCTGCCACTGTGAGATGGAGATAATAACAGTGTCTACCTCGAGGGGCTGTGGTGAGGATGAAACGAGATCATATTTGTAAAAGGAGCTTAGTATGGCTCCTGACACATAATAGGTGCTATATAAATGCTTATTCCCTTCCCTTTTTATTTGTCCATGGAATGATTCTGACCTTGTGTATATAAGAAATAAATTTTTGTTTGTTTTTTGTTTTTTTGCTGAACAAGGCTGGCCCTAAAGAAGAGCTATAAAAAGAAATCAGACCCTTCCCCCTCCTTTGCAGAGGTGAGGAGGTCTTTGAATGAGGAAAACTCCACATATCTTCAGACTTCCCTTTTGGATGTATTGATTGGTTTCACTGATTTTTCTCCTTTTTCCCTCTTTTTCTTAAACAAAATCTTTGTTATGTGGGCTGGCTTTGTAAGAGAGAAAAGGAAGACAGATACAGGGGAAAATATAGGTTTTTGCTTTTAAAAATAAAATATGACGATAAAAATTTGTTTTACAGCAGTGTTTTGGCTAAGCCAGAGAAATGCCAAGTACTGAGTTATTTTTCCAACAAAATGAAAGTCCTGGAAGGGTCTCAGCATGTGCTGATCTCATCTCAGGGGTGATCAGTTTAGTGACTGTCTAATGATCAGCAGGCCAGTGCTCGCTGCAGATACCCATGAGAAAATTTCTGGCGGTAAAATTGGGGTGCACCTCTTGGCAGATGGGTAGTAGACTGTAGATGTGAAATGAGGAAAAAATTGTAAGAAACAGCCAAGGTGTTGATTTGTTTAGCTTGGCTGTACGACCAGGGAAGGTTCTTTGGGGAAAAGAAATGACCCAGAAGTGACAATGATGTAAAGTAAGTCAATAAAACATTTTTTTAAAAGCAAGGTTAGACACGCTCTGTTTGATGACAGAGTCCAGAACTAAGAATGATGTGTGTTTTACGGGACTAAAACCTCAATCCAAATCTAGTGTATGATGTGTCAGACACAAAAGCTAATGAGTCTTGGGGGGGCCAGAGAAGAAGCATAGCTCAGTAACTTGGCTCACACCAGGACTGGGCTTTTTTGCATTCTTTGTAGGCATGACTGTAGATTGCTAGAAAGAACATTGGCTATGGAGGAATGTGCAAAACGTGCAGTAGGTTATTGAGCTTTGGAAAGTAGAGATATTCTTAAATCAATCAGCCAATTCACATTCATGCATGCCTACTGTAGCTCTGGGCTAAATGCTGGAGGTACAAATGTGGAAGGGAAAGACAGTCCCTGCCCTCTCAGAGCTCAGAGGAAAGAGCACACATAACATGAACATGTGAACAAAAGCACACAGAAGGCATCTTGTGGCGGGGGGCGGGGGGAAGTCCCAAGGAGGATGGCTCATTCATTCTATATATTTTCTGGTATGTCTTAATCTGTATAACTTCTCCAATTTCTCTTTGCAGTTCACTTCGATCAATGGGTTTAGTTATTATTCACTATTTTGACAATCTCTCATGTAACTAGCATTTGATGTTAAGTCTACAGGTATTAAGTTCGGGTAACCCTCCCACTCCTTTAAGAGCATTCAGGGAAGTGGCTTTTTTTAAACCAAAATTGCATCCTCATACCAACAATATTTAAGGCAACACATAATTCTGGCCTACTATTGCCTCAGAGCCTAGAGATCAAAGCTTCCAAAGGTTAGTGCTTTCTCCTTCCCTCAAGGCAGGAGTCACACAATCTGTCTTGGGGGGGGGGGGTGAGCAAGATTCTAGAGACATCTATTGATGCCTATCATGAGCCACATTTAGGAAATCCATGAGAACATGCATCCTTACATGGGCAGCACTTACTTAGATGATCTGGTTTGAGGAAGGTGATGGTACTATGTCCTGCTTATCTGGAATATTGCAATCTGCTTAGGTAGCCACTATTAAGGGCATTCATAAGCCAAAGAGATAGGCAGGCAATTAGTCAGGCAAAGTCCTTGAGTTCATGTTACATGAGGACTGGTTAAAAAAAAAAAGGGTATATTTAGCCTGGAGAAGAGAAGACTTGGAGGGTTGAGAGTGGGTGGAAAGGTCGAAGTATGATAGCTTTCTCCAAGCATTTGAAGGGCTATCTCATGGAAGAAGCATAATAGTTTTGTTCTGCTTAGCCCCAAAAGGAAAAACCGGAGCAGTGGATGAAATTTGCAAAGAGATAACTAGAGGCTTGATGTCAGAAACAGCTTCCTCAGAATTAGAATTGTCTAAAAGGCAGATGAGCTGCTGCGGAAGTAAACTGATTCCCTGGGGATCTTCAAGGAAAGGCTGGATGACCACATGGTGGGGGATGGATGTTCAGATGGGAGTGGATTAGAGAGTCACAGAGCCCAGGGTTTCTCTGAGAAACTGAGCAAGATGTGACTTTCTGGAGATGACTGGTAGCAATTTCCAAGGTTGTGTGTAATTAGATGATCCCTGGTCTCCTCGATTGAGAACAGGAAAGGGTTTGAGGAATGTTTCTCTGCATTTTGATTTAATAGCAAGAATGAAGGATTCCTGGGAAGTCAGGATAGAAGAAAGAGTGGGGGATGACCTAAAGATTCTAAGTAAGTAGAGGGGAAATAATATCCACATCAGGAGACTTGAACATGGAAGAAGCCTAGAATGTTAGGCTCCATGGAACACAAAAAAGGAAGGTGGGAGGGGAAGAGAAGAAACTAAATCATAGGAGCTATACAACAGCCCTTTCCTTCCCTTTTTAGATCTCATCTGTACATTCTGAGGAAGAAATAGCATCTCATGCTCCACGGCATAACCAGGCAGGATCCATAGGTAACAGCAGGTGTAGGGGGATTTATGACTGGCCACAAGAGAAACGAACTTCTTTTAGAAGACTAATTCCACTAAAAGTCAAAAATCTGGGAAATTACTAAATTGCCTTGTTAGTGATATCAATTTTCTTATGTTGCTAAAATGTAAAAGGAACTATTACTCTGGACCCAATTATAACCAACTAAGAAGACTTGGCTACTTGGCTGGTGAAGCGAAAGACAAGTGAACTTGGGAAACACGTATTTATATCAGGGTTCACAGTATTCAAGAAAAGAAACCTTGAGCATCTTCAGCATGTACCCGAGGCTGTTAGAGAGCAAATTTCTAAAGTTCCAGGAAAAGATAAGTGTGATCCGATGGCAGAAAACTCTAAAAGGGACAGTGGCTCAACAGGAATAGAATCTTTTTAAAAATGAAATTATATTTGCACATTTTAAAAAGGATTGAAGGAAGAAAGTCATAAGCATCAGAAGCTGGTATGGATTAACTAAAAAAAAAAAACATAATCAAAATAACCTCGTTTTCTTTTTTGAGCTGGTTACCAGACAGACAGATATCATGGAATCACAGAATCTGAGAGATGAAAAAGACCACAGAAGCAATCTGGTAGAACTCATATATTGGCATTTGAACAAAAATCATCTCAACAAAATCTAATTTGGAGATACCACTTCTTTCCAAGCCAGTTCATCTCACTTTGGGGAAGCTCTAATTTTTATTAAGTCTGTCCTTAACTACATCCAAAATTAGACTTTCTACAGCCCACTTTTTTTAGTATTGGGCTCTGTGGACAAGTGGAACAAATAAACCTTCTTCAAGGTAGCAGGCCTTCAAATATTCAGAGTGTTATCAGGTCCCCCCTCATTTTTTTCTTTTTCAGGTTCAAACTCATCTTTGTATGGCATGGACTCAAACTCCTCCAGCATTCTTGTCACCCTCTTCCAGGAGAAGGAGATATTAGAATGCATTTCCTAAAATACAGAACCTAAAATTAAATACAATATTCCAGATGTGGTTGAAGCAGGGCAGAGTGCATTCCGATTGTACTTCCCTTCTTCTGCATACTCTGCCTTTCTTAAGGTAGGCTGATTGCATTTGCTTTTTTGGCTGCCATATTACACCACTTACTCATATTGAGCTTACAGTACACTGAAATCCACATTGGTTAACCAGATGTGTGCAGCTGGCTTTTTGAAACTAAGGCTAGGGGCAGGTAGGTGGCACAGTGGATAGAGCACCAGCCCTGGAGTCAGGAGGACCTGAGTTCAAATCCGGCCTCAGACCAAACACTTGACACTTACTAGCTGTGTGACCCTGGGCAAGTCACTTAACCCCAACTGCCTAAAAATAAATAAGAATAAAAGAAACTAATGCTAAGACTTTATGTCTATTAAGCTTCCTCTGTTTAATTTCACCCTATTACTCTAACTTGTTGAGCTCTTTCTGGACTCACATTTTGTCATCCAAAATGTTAGCTATCCTTCCTTCCAAACATTACGTCATTTACACATTTGATAGCCATGTTCTCTATGCCTGGATCTTGAGAATTGATTTTTTAAAATTAAGTATCATAGAACTAAGGACAAATTCCTGGCACTTGAGAGTTCTTTGCAATTTGAAATTGATTTATTAATACATTTCCTTTAAGTCTGCTCATTCAACTAGTTCCAAATCCACTGAATGTACTGTGATCCAACCCACATCTTTCCATTTTGTCTATATGGAGAACAAGAAAGGTTTTGGCAGCTGCTTTGCTGGAAACTAGGTATACAGAATCTGCTGCATTTCTCTGATCTATGAATCTAAGAATTAAGTTTAGTTTGGCACGAACTGTTGTTGATGGAGCCATGCTGACTCTTTCTAAATGCTCACAGCTTTCCCATTAATGATACGTTCTAGAATTGTGCTAAAAATCAAAGTCAAGCTGACTGGCCCATAGTTTGCAGAATCAGCTCCATTCCTTTTATTTTTTTTCTTTCTAGGTAACTAACAATTGACCTTTGACAGGTCAGTAACACCTCTCTTGGGGTGTATGGGGTGTTCAAAGAGAGCTAGCACCTCTGATGTGAGGGCTGCTCATCCAACTTAGGTGTCTGCCTTTCAGCCAATTCTCACCTGTGGCTCCAGGAAGCCATAGCTTGTGCAGCAGCCACACCCTCGTAAGACCATCTAAGCAGAAAGGCTAACCCAGGTTTCAGGGGTGAGGAATCCACAGCTTCAAGGCCACATGTGGCCTTCTAGATCCTTGGGTACAGCTAAGTCCAAGTTTTACAGAACAAATCCTTTTATCAAGGGGATTTGTTCTGTGAAGTTTTCCTTCAGTTAAAGGGCCACACTTGAGGACCTGAGGCCACAGGTTCCCCACTCCTGGATCCAACAGGCCTCAAGCCTATTGGTGAGTTAGGGAAATGGGTAGATGAGAACAATTTGTTCTAATGGCCATAAAGGCAGCTGAAGCAGGCATTGTGCAATGCTTAGAGCTCAAAGATGCCAAGGTCATCTGTTGCGTCTGGGTTCATCACCACTCCTCCTGACTTTTGTCTTTTTTTTCTTTTCTTTTTTTTAAATAAATTTATTTATTTTTAGTTTTCAATATTCACTTCCATAAGTTTTTGAGTTCCAAATTTCTCACCCCTCCCCCACCCCAAGATGGCATGCATTCTGAATACCCCTTCCCCTGGTCTGCCTTCTCTTCTATCTCTCCCCTCCCTTCTCTTATCCCCTTCCCCTTCTATTTTCCTGTAGAGCAGGATAGA